CTGGAAAGCCAGAAAACAAAGCGAGAAACAGCACAATTACTGCAGGCAGGGAAGACACCCCAGATGGCGATGGGCGGCCTGCATTCAGCTGAACCACGGTGGGACTATACTTCGCCTCTTCATCGTTCACCCAGAAGAAAAACAAAGTCTTTCATCTTTTTATCTTCCACTTACTTTCTAGGAAGACAAATTCTTGTCCTTCTGTAAACTGAGGAAGAATATACATAGTTACATAGATTATTGCAGCTTAGATTATTTTCAGCAATTCCACACCCAAGGATACATATCCGTTTAGACGGAAGTACACCCGCTATACATTAAAATGCCAGTCTTTCAAAAATTCTTCTAAGTATGTATAAATGTGGTTTCCTCTTCTTCTAAAGTTCTTAGGATGTTTTTCAGAACTTGAGCACTAAAGCATTAACTTTATGTGTACTGTAGCACCTCTGTATTTCCCTTCTTATTCATCAAAAGAATGAGAATGATTGTACATTTAATCTCTCCTTCTACTGGCATTTATAACTTTAGCAAATAGGCTCGCACTAGAGTACCTAAAATAAACTGTTATAAATGATCGAATGTCTGCATAGCCAGCAAGTCTTTCATGAGGATAATTGTCACACATCCTTTCAACACAACAGTGCACATTTTCCGTGACCAGCCTCTCAGAAAGTTAAAAATAAAACTGCAGTTAAGAATGTCAAGTTTGTTAACCTAACTGGATTTTAAACAAAGAAAACAAGAGAAGCAATGGTTTTCCCAACTACCTACAAGCGGAAATAGCAGAAAAATAAATCTGTAGTATACTGTTCATACTTAGCTTAAATTTCCGTTTCCAAGTCATGGCATTTTTTTTTTGTTGTTGTTCTATTTTCTTCTTCTTCTTAGTATAGGGCTTTTTTTTTTCTCTTAATTTAGAGAGAGAGTGTGTGCTAGCATGAAGGGAGGGCAGGGTGGAGGGAGAGAATATCAAGCAGACTCCCCGCTCAGCGCAGAGCCCAACACGGGGCTCGATCTCATGAAGCTGAGATCATGACCTGAGCCGAAACCAAGAGTCGGAAGTTCAACCAACTGTGCCACCCAGGTGCCCCTCTTAGTATAGGGCTTTAAAACATCAATGAAAAGATAAAAACTCCTCCATATGGGAAGGAACAAGGATGAAACTGGAATCTGTTTTAGTGGAGACAACTTTTATAAAACCATACAAATTAAGATTGTAAAGCAATGGAAATGACACAGAGCTGAGTATTATCCCAGTTGCCTGTGGTCCAGAGAAGTTGCTGTGGTAAATACCAGCTTGACCTATCTGAAGCATTCAACTCTTGATAACCGAAGCAGCACTCCAACTAGAAAAATATCACAAAATGTCCTTCCACCGATCCCCGCGGAAATACGCCAGGAAAATGAAGCCTGATGAGTAACTACCAAGAATCCTGTCTTTTCATCCAAGTCTTCTAGATGCAAAATAACAAGCTTTTTACCATGTGGCTGGAAGTCCTCGTGGATAGGAAATGGCTGGCAGTCAACAGGACCTATCTGGATGAGTGCAAACAAGTCGAGACAGATGGAATTGGGAGATACTTCAGTTTCGTACTCCTTTTCTGTCTACTAGTAGGAAAATGTAAAATATTGGTTCCTGCTTCATTCACGAATTCATGAACCAGAAGGTGGACAATGCCCTTGGGGAACCGTCATTTACTGAGTTAACCTAACAGAGAGCTGGGTGGCCAAGTAACAGGGCTCAGAAGCGAGATCTTGAAAGCTCAGAAGAAAGAAATGCTGAAGATGAGAAATGAAACGGGGCTAACCCCATGTTCTTAGGATGGAAAATACCGCCCCCTTGAAAAGACACATTGTCCTCATACACACATGATTTAAATAACTGCTCTCAAGAAAAATATTCTCCCCAAAGAATGTCACAACTTTGGAAGTAAGTCACTTAAACAGCCAGCGAATAAAACCTCTAAGTTGCTGTAGCAGCTATTTCCTTTGGGTAGATGAGACTTAAAATATTTATTTATGCATACTTCTTCTGTTATCTTTTGATTACTTTCCCTTTCTTGGAGTGTTGGAATGACTTGCACTTAAATTCAGAATTTCGGGAGAGCCTGCTACATTTTTTCTAGTGCCAGACAATGGTATCGAGTGCAGATGGGCATTCATGTAGGGGACAGAAGTGATGACAGGCCAGAAGTCGGGTGTCACGGTGAAGGACATCTGAGGGGCCAAAGTCATATAATTGTATGGTATTTCATTATGTTACGATAATTCATCTATAAGACAGTTATTTTGATACAGTGTAAGTGGCACATCAGAATTAACTTATTTATTTAGATCTTAAAGAATATTACAAGTGTGATAAAACGAATATCAAAATCCTGTTCTTATTATTGGCCACCACGTGCAAACTCAAAGTAATCAGGTGGCCTAAGGCACAAACGGGGCCAGTAGTTTACAGACTCTCACCATTCTGAGGTACCCTGATCTTCACAAATATGGTAATAACAGCATTTGAAATGGCAGCATGGGGAACGAGTAGACAAGCAACTGTATACTTTAAAAAAAAAGTAAAGTGAGATACAAAAGAAATTCCCTTATAAAAAAGTAGTTACTGTTATCCTCCAGGCTTCCTTAAAGTTACTTACCTTGTATTTTACATGTAGCCTTTACATAGTTATTTAAGAAATCGGTAGCAATAGAAAAACATTAAAAAGCATTTTTTCCTGGGCAAATGAATCTGCAACTCCAACACAAAGATGCATGTTGAAATTAACTCCAGGTGGCTTGATTTTCGGTCCCAGGGGGTTCACGGACTCATTGTTTTATAGAAGTTGGGAAGAATGCATGAACTTCAAAATAGCTAATGTAACTCAGTCAGCCACAGCATCTGGCCTAAGAAGTGGAAGAAACTGGTCTTTTAAAATGTCTTTCCTCTATTACCTGCTTGACTCTCAACCAGCCATATGTAGTCATAAAATATATGCATCAGGATTTGTGATGGTGTGAAAACAACATGCAAATAAAATCAATCACGGAAAAAGGGGAAAGGTGATTTGGCCTTATCTCCAAAATTAATATTATACAAATTTATGTATATATTTGGTTTTTATAGATCTACTTCTTTTTTACTCCTAATACTAAAAAGGAGTCCTTTCACTGAACATTTTCATATGAAGTGTTTTTTTTTTTTCATATGAAGTGTTTTTGAGTTTACTCCTGCTCTGACTCAGTGAAAGCTTTGTGAATTTCAAAGTGCAAGTCACCAGCCACGAACAGCTTGTACACAGTCTAAGTGCTGCAGACTCAGCATCAGAGCTGTCTCTCTGGAATTGGTAAGCAGGGTGAGGATGAAGATATTTGACAAGGGGGCACCACTCCGAGTGTTTTTTGAGGTTGTTCCAAAAGCCCATTCTGGGTTATTCAGGGAGCCTCATTGTGATGGATTAGCCTTCTCTGTCCTTCCTCCTGTTACTCTGCCTGCCTTTTCACCCATTCCATTTTCTGTCAGGTCCTGCAGAAGAAGAGGCACTGAGAACAGAGGAAAAGGAAACCCCTCAATTTCACTCTCCGGGAGTCAATGACGCCCAACAATCCTTAGGGTATGCTAACTATTTTTCTGGATCATTTTCCATTAGCAACAAAGTCCCTTTAGTTTATATTTTACAATTAGTATTTCCTACCAGGATGCACAGTTTAACAAATGACCTGAAGAGCTAACTTAGACATTCCCAAATCTATTCAACTGTAGATATAAATGGACATTTTCTTGGTTATTAAATCGCTGCGCCTGGATGGAATCACATTCTGTGAATTTGCTATAGGTTGGTAATAATTCATGTAAAGATTTCCCGTCATGACCAGGAAAGATTGCAAGCTAGAGGTACAAAACTTTCACTGACTCATGAGAATCATGGAGTCATTTGGGCCACTGAAAAGTATAGAAAGTTATTTCCAATAACCACTGTGAACAAAAATGTGAACAGAATAATACAATATTTTGAAAATATTTTAATATTTGCCATTTTTTTGCCTGTGCTATTAATATATACACTGATTTAGTAATAAATATACTACTATTACATAGAGCGCAATATTTTTAGTATTCATAACTGGTTGAAATTAATGCTGCTATTATCTCAAGAAAGGAATAAATAAATATCATGCCCAAGGTCCAAACCAAAGCTCAAGAGGTTATCATTAACAAAAATTATAAAATAAACAGGTCGGGCATTATCTTTTTAAACATGATTCTTGTAAACATAGCAAAGATCACTTTTCTCAGTCCTGACATTTTGTGTGATGGCTTTAAAAGAAAATACAACATACAAATCCTATCACTTCTTTTTTTGCATAGGGAATGAATTAATCATATTTGAAAATGCAGCAATCTTCCAGTGAAATGTCTTCATCACATGGCACTTGTTTTCTGCAGGAATTCAGAACTTTGGAGCAATGCATAAGTTTATAAAATATGCTTTCTGGATTTAAAATTTAACAGAAAAATTTCAAGACAAGTCATAGTCATGATTCTGAAATATTATGTACATAATATCTGCCTACAGGAGGGTGCGCCTCGCTGCAGCACAACACAGTGTACAAATGTGAAGCACAGTGTTTCATAGAATTTCCCTTTAGATTTTCTTCGTATTGGTGCCTAAGTGGCTTATGATTATGCCCATTCCACTTGCGCATACAAGGTAGAAAGGGGGGTGTGAGGACAAATTTAAAGTGGATGATGGAAAAACTGGCAAAAATGCAGTACATATGCTTTAAACAGTGCACTTTACAAAATAGTTTGCTTTATTCGTATTCTCTCATAAAGTGCAATATTACTTAAAACAGAGACCTGTACCTTAATATTTTGCAATAACCATTAAAACAAATCGCCAGGAAAGAGCAGTGCAAAATTAAAAACATATGTAGCTTAGCATGCAGATGCTAAGATCCATCCATCTCAGATGGATCCCAAATACAGAGCATGGGACCTTAAGTGCCTGTACTTTTTTTTTTTTACTTCTTAGAAAAAGATTAATAATAACAGGTTACGATCATATGTAACCATAAAATAAAGACAATAAGTTAAAATCCTCTCTCAAGAAATAAGTGTACACCACACATACAATTCACTACGGCATCATTCTGAAAACCCTCAGACCTTTTCCTCTGATAAATCACTGTTCGAGGGGGTGCAAATCTCTTAAAAACCCGCGCTGTCCACAAGGCAAAGCAAAAGGTATCATCATCACAGTACGAGTGACTCCTGCCGGCAGACATCTGAAAAACCTGCGACTCATTCTGTAAACAGCTCAAACCTAACCAGGCCCTAATTAGATTTATAGACAGACACCTTTGCTCTTTCCAGAACAGTCCCGTTGGCATCGTGCTAGGTCGCTGAATGGTATAACAGGTGCTCTATTCACAGTAACATTCTCTGTCCAGTGCTTTTGGACAAGGATAACCAACTGGGTTTTCCTGAAATAATTCCCTAAGAGGCAGCTTCCAAACAGGCCAACAGGACACGGTTTGAAAAGCGTAAGACATCACCTCAGGCACATGCTGAGGGCACTCAAGGTGCAATGGGTCGTCATCGGTGACACTCCTACCGTCCCCGCGCCACTCAGTCCGAGAACTGGAAGAGCGTGTCTGGGTTGCTGGGGTCCGCGGGGTTGCTGGGCTGCAGGGGCTTAGTGGGCGTGGTTTTCCCGTGGGAGTGAGAGGACGACGAGTGAGAACTTTCGCTCGAGCTACTGCGCGTCTCTGTGCTGGTGCTGGTCTTCTTCATTTTCCTTCTCTTCGCCAAAGGGGCCTTGTCGACATTCTGAAGGCAAAACCCCTCTCTCTTGTATTTGTTAAAGGCCTGGGGGAGAAAGAAAGGGAGCCCCTGTGAAGGTCAAGGGATCGAAGTTCACTTGGAAGCCAGGACTTCTAGCAGAAGACAACGTTCGGTTGGCAACCACAGCTGCAAGTTGCTCTGGGAACAAGGTCCTGAAGACCATCATTTGCAAACCTCCTGGCAGGGTATGGAAGCTCATGGGAAGAGTCTCAAGGGCTCTGCTTAAATCAACCCAGCCAGGCTGTTCAGGAGTTAGGATTCTCATTAATCTTTCGAAGAAGTTAGTACCACCTCTCAATAAAAAACACCAGCCTCTCAACCCCTGTTACTTTTACTAGTTCTGTGTCTGAGATTTAAAACTCTGCCCACAAAGCCCCGCTACAGAGCAGACTGGATCCGTTATGGGCCCTCCTCCCCACTTCCAGGCTGGGGTGATTGGGGTGTATCTCGGATACTTCATCTGCACAGAGAGGCTCAGCTCCACCCGCCGCAGGCTGGCTTTCTCCTCACAGCTGCCTGTCCCCACTTCTCTTAGCCTCAAGTTTGGGTGTCACTGGGGTTACTCTTGATAGCTTTGCATCAGATGTCACTGGGAAGACGGGGATCATCTGTACAAACTCTTGCAGTTAATCCCTTTACACCTCAACATATCCGAGTTCATCAATCTTTAGTCCATTTCTGCAGCTGAAAAAGAAACGCTATCCCTTTCCCTCTCTCAAGATAATCCCTTCAGAGGTAATTTACTTCTGCCTTAACTCATCTATTCCTTATACAATTATCTTCAAGCATTTGCCTCTGCTTGGCACAAATGCACATACTCTTTTTCCCTATCCCTCACAGTCTCTAGGATATGTAACGCATAAATGGATGCTGAGGGAGTGAACAGACTTGGCACATGTGCCTTAGTTCCTCATGTTTATGTACAGCTTTTTAAAGAAAATGAGTTAGGCTATTTGAGAGATAAAAGTTCCAACATAATGCATATTGTTTTCATTATCTACTGAAAATTTTCAACTCTTCAAATATCAAACTACTGCCTCGCTCACAAACTCATCCGAAATGGCAAGTTAAGTATTTTGTGGGTCAGCAGTGACTCGGGTCCCCCACATACTTTCTGTTAATAAATGTGTTTACATCATGGAGGGATTTATAAAGACATACCTAGAATGAAAATAACACATTCTTTTAAATGTACTACTAAGAGTGCGTCTCGGAAGTTATGGAGTAAACGCGTCTGATGCCTTTTCAAACCCGCCTGCCATGTGCAGAGCGCAGGGCCTTACGTGGAAGGTTGCTTTCACACAGGTTTGCACGGCAGCTCCCGAAGATCCTAGAATGTCTGGAGTCATCAGAGGATTTGAGGACAGCTGACTGCCATCTTGAAGCCATTCGTTGTATCTCAAGCCTGACATTTTAAGCCTTTTATTGGGATCGACTGTGAGGAGTCCTAGGGGAATAATTAAGACATTTTTATTTTATGATTTGTTTCAAACATAAATCTCAATTAGGTTCACATGACACAATGGTTTCGCTAAGGCGTCAACCTTCTACAAAGGTCATTACATTTTCGTATACATTTCAATTCCCTAGTAAATCCTGAATGTTAATGACAAGGCCCACAGTAGCCTACGTCTACTGCAGGCTAACTGGCTTCTCAAATCAGGAGGAAATTGGCACCCAACACAAAGACTCCCACCGGTGACTGGAAAGCTCCACAGGAACAGGGAATACCTAGATGTACTTCATTCATGTTACAAACACCTTGTACAAGCCAGCGCGTGCAGTAAGGCACTAGAGATACGGAGGTGGAGACCCAAAGAGGAGCTATGGGGAGATACACAGACAAAAACTAACTCTGACAGCATCAGGAGACAAGTGCCAATAGCAACATCCCCACACACGGTGTGTCGGCGACCCAAGGGGACGGCTCTGACCACAGTGTAGTCACCCTGGAGGGCTTCCAGAAGATGAGTCCTGGAGGATGAAGACAAGTGGGCTGGATGAAGAGGGGTGCCCCAGGATTAGAAAGAGCAAGCGTGGCATCATGCGGGAATCTGAGAGCTGGCACATTTGAAGAATTCAAAGGCAGCGTGAGGGAAGCAGGAGGCCCGGGCAGGCAGGGCCAGGTCCTGAAAGGCTCTGATTTCAAACGCTCCCATACGGGAGTCTGACCTGAAGCTAACGGGGGCCTCTCTGAAGGACTTTGAGCAGAAGAGGGGCATGATCACATCTCGATACGAGGAAGGTCGCTCTGCTGATTGATACCGGGCAGGTAAAGGCAGAGGCAGTGAGACGAACTGAAAGGGGCTGTGGGCTCTCAGGACAGAAAGGAGAGCGGGAACTGAGGGCGGCCACGTGAATGGGGACGAGGGGGTGGTGAGGCCGGACGCTGAACTGCAGGACTGGGTGGCTGGCTGTGGAAGGCGAGGAAGGTGGGGGGGCGGAAGGTGACGCCCATTCTGGCTGCCTGGTAGTGCAAGAGGGGGATGGGAGGGGGCATATTTTGGGGGAAAAGATAGTAAAATAATGTCAGTGCACTCTGGAGGTGTTAAATTGAGATGCTGTGGACCCTGCAGATGTGGGTAAGGTTCCTAAGGGATAGTGAAGAAAAAAATAAGGCTCAGTAGAGCAACCTGGAAACTTTCTAGAACACATGTGAATTTCTTGAGTCATTAACAGATATATGTGAATGGGCAGGGTTCTACTTCAATCGCCACACATCCTACACGATGTAAAGTTTCATTAGAGTCTTACCTTGGATCAAATCTTTAGCTTCTTGGGATACATTCTTCCAGGCTTCTCCTTCAAAGGAGAAATCTCCCTTTTTAATTTTCTTCATGATTTCCACCGCACTGGTACATGTCAAACTTTTGTCATGAGATTGGAATGGAACTTGCCCTGACAACATTGTATACTATCAAGGAAAAAAAAAAAAGGAACAAAAGAGAATGTCTGCCAAAGTCATTGTCAAAGCCATGCTAGTCATTTCATTGCTAACTTCATCAGCATAATTTACCAAATACTACGAGTAGCATTATTGGGTTTAAAAGATTACGTAGACTTCTTTCACTGAAGCAACAAACACATTTCAAAGCCTCGTAAATAAACTGAGACAACTTATTAGATCAACATTTAAAGAGCAAGAAGAAGAACAAACCAAGGATACTCCAACTACTTCAGAAAAGAGAGTACTAATATTAACAGAAAGCTGAGAGATAGCAGAACCTTTCAATAACTTTTTTTTTTTCTCTATTCAGTTCCATACATCCTTTCCTCAGGACATTAACTGTAGTTAAGGGCTTCAAACATTTTTAATTTAGGCCTTCCTATTTTGGTTGTAATTACCACTTTAATTTTATTTTTCTCATCGTGGCGTTAAATAGAATGAATTCTCTACAACCACCTGTTTTCACTGTGGCCATGTGTTTGAAGATTTATGTTTAAGGTTTTTGCCCTTTAAAAAGTCAACAGAAAAACTGAAAAGCTAAGTAAGGTTTGTCTTTGCAGCAGAGACTGAATATGGACTTATAAAACTTCTTGGAGGGTTTTCTCTCTGCTCGCTGAGAGACTTACGGGCCCGCGGAGGCGACAGGCGGCCATGAACGGTGGGGTGAAGCGACAGTGTCCGAGCGCAGACCCCCAGAAGCGCCGCACAGCGGGGAGACGGTGGTGCTGTCAGTAGGAGCCCGCCCGCCCTGGCAGTTATTGACGAAGGGACACAAAGAGGAGGGTCTCCGGTTCAAGCCCAGCCCTCAGGAGGAGGTGGGCACCCAGGGAGAAGACCCAGTGACCTGGACGGACTCCGCCATTTCTCTCTTGTGGCCACGTGGCTGACAAGCAGGCTCCCCCTCATGACGGCGAGATGGTGGAAAACCAAAACCGTCCCTCAGTCTTCTCTCCTTCACCCTTCCCGCACGGTGACGCTCACCAGCCTACACCTCTTCCCCAGCGTCTCCCTCCTCAGACTTCCTCAGACTTCCCGACGCGGACCCCGCACCGCGCTGGCACCTTGCAGGCTCCCCTCGCCCGCCCGCCCGCCCGCCCGCCTCAGCCTCTGAGGTCCCCGGGGTTCCCGCCCCGCATTCCGCACCCACAGTTCCTCGGCCCCCCTGACGTTACTCCAGCTGCTCAGTCTCCTTAGAAAGCCATTTTTCTTTTGAGCTGGCAAGCCTTCCCCCCCCCCCCCCCCCCCCGGTGTCACTCTTCACGTGTGTGACCAGGGCCTCCGCCATCTGCCATGTTACTCCAGAGACAAGACACATGGCGGGAGGGGAACATGAGCTTTTCAGTCAGACAGACCTGGCTTCCTGCTTTTTTACGTACCGGCTTCTACTTTCTAGCTGTTTAGTTACTAGTTGGGCAATTTGTTAAGCTCTCTTAGACTCTTTCTTCACCTTTATAATAAATGTAACAGGACTGAGCAACCCACTGCATTTGGTAAGCGCATTAGCCAGCTCAGTGGGACACCCAGCCTCACTCCGTTTTCCCTTCCTCCTCTTTCTCTGGTTGGGAGGCAGCAGGGACCCCATTCCTGATGCAAAGTGGGGGAATCAGAACAGCAAGCCATGCAACTTTAAAGTCCCTTCCTAAAGGTCCACTTTCTAGATCGCTGCTGGCACCAACTATCTTAGCCTGGGTTCCCCACAGAGCAGAGTCTAAAGCGAAAGCTAATACACAACCACATCAAGGAGTACGGTCCCTGCGGAGGAAGAATTCAGGAGAACGGGGAACAGTGTCCACCCCAAAGGAACTGCAGGCCCTGGCTAAAATAGGCCAGTCGGGATCAGCTGCCACGCTGAATGTGGTACAAGTCAATATGGTGCTGGCACTGATAAGCACCTACTTCTTGATTTCTATCAAGAGGAAAGAGCAAAGCAGTAAGTCCTTATATGGCAAGGACAGCCTTCACTGTCTTGTCTGAGAGCTGTCTGAACTCTCCCGCTCTGTTATAATACAGTCTGTTAGGCCCTCGATCATCCTGACATCCTCAAGAACCCCATGCTGGCCCTCTGTATTGATGTCTTCATGAAGGGAGACCTGGTGAGCAGGAACTAGCATATCCTAAATGCCTTCTAAGCACATGAACACCAGAGGATGGGAGACAGACTGGACAAACATTCAGGGAACTGTCACATTGGTAAAGGTTTTAGAGCTCCCATGGTTAGGGGCATAGAGACTTGCCCCTGAAAGACAAATTGCTGTACCTTGTACCACTGAGAAAGAGGCACAGGACTTAGTGGACTTCTTGGGATTTTGGTGACAGTGTATGTCGCTCTTCTCGAGGATAGTGCTCCAATCCATTTATCAAGTGACTGCGGGGGCTATCAGTTTTAAGCGGGGCCCGGAATAAAGAGGATTCCGCAGCAGGTCCCAGCTGTAACACAACCACCCTTCTACCGAGGCCAGAGGGTCTGGCTGACTCGACTGTGGTAGAGGTATCTGTGAAAGGTAAGAATGCTGTGCAGAGTCTCTGGCAAGTGCATGAGGAGAGTCGCAGAGCAGACGTGAAGGATTCTGGGGTGCGGTTCTTGCCTTCTGTGGCAAGAGAACTACTCTCTGAAAAGAGAGTAGAAAGAGAACTACTCTCTGAAAAACAGCTCCTGGATGCTCCTGGTTCCTAGTAGACCTTGTGTACCCACAGAAGGGATATCAAGAGCAGTGCATCGTGTGCTAGGATGAGCAGTTGTGCTGACTCATAAAGTCGCAGCAGCAACCCCATGTACTACAGACACGGCACACTTAGAACCAGCCCTAGGAGGTCCAGAAGGCAGGAGTAAGTTACATCCACGGGCGTATGTTACCGATCTCTGCTGCATCAACACTTCTTCCTTAACTCAAGGCAATGGCCTCACTGAGGAGGGGTTCCCGATGACCAACTGATGGAGCAAGAAAGGAAATTGAGCTGGCTTGATAGATGGTCTATTAGAACATGAAAAACTCAGTGACGGCACCTGCTCAGGACAATACCCTGTGGGGTTGGAGCTCTGTCCTTGAGGATTGTATTGAACCATCAGCTGGTGCTGGGTTCCGCCATACCTAGATCCTTTTCTTAGAGAAAGAGAAAGAGAGCGGGCAGGGGGAGAGAGACCGCAACTGGGGGAGCAGAGGGAGAGGGAGAGAATCGTAAGCAGGCTCCATGCCCAGAGTGGAGCCCCATGCAGGGCTCGATCTCACGACCCTGAGATCATGACCAGAGCCAAAATCAAGAGTCGGTTGCTTAGCTGACTGAGCCACCCAGGCACTGCCCGCATATCTAGATTTTATGGGAACATGGCCCACTTAAAAAATTCATGTTTCTGTCCTGCAAACTTGGAGTTTGCTTCTTTAGAGGTCTTGGTTCATGAACTCGAGTGATCAGCTGCACTGTGCAACAACAGGTAGCAACCCACGTGTGCATCCTCTGCAATCCCTCTTTCTCTGCTTTCTTCCTTCTTCCTGGGATTATGCTCCTTGGGAACATGAGGAAACATAGTTTAGCTTCAGGTTCTGCTTTCCACGTAGCCCAGATTAGAATACCTTTCTATTGCTGATGAACATTTGATTTGTTTCCAGTTTGGGGCATTTTTGAAATGATATATATATATATATTTTTTTTTTTTCTTTACACATCTTTTGGAACAAAAATACAATTTCTCTTGGGTTTATTCCTGAGGATGAACTGCTGGGTCATTTGGTCTGTATATGTTCAATAGATACTGCCAAACAGTTTTCCAAAATACATTCCATTTCTTAATCCTACCCTACTTCCTAAAGGATATGAATGTAGCTAAATATAAAAAAGTAACCTTTATAAAGACAGTTTTCTTGCTTTCTGATGTGTAATAATGCAACAGGCTATTGGGCAGAAAAACTAATTCTCCATCTTTAGAAGTATTTAAAGGAGACCGGGGATCAGGGGCCTTGTAGAAAAGATCCCTGCTCTAGAAGAGGTAGAAATAAACTTTAGGCTCCTCTTAACTCCAAGATCTTACAATTTTAGTTGATTATCCAGGAATCAACTTGTGTTAAAAATAATTTTGTACCTGCAAATTGTTTGCAAATGGCGTGGCAAACAAGTATTTACATACATAAGGATATATCTATACATGTGTGTGACCACACATATATATCATACATATATGTACCTATATACGCACACATGGAGAGTGTGCACACAAGACAGAATTTGAGAGAAAGATAAAGGAAATGTGGCAAAATGTTAGATGTTCTACAGTATTATTCTCTCAAATTTTTGTAGGTCTGAAATTTCCAAAATAAAATTTTGAGAAAAAAGTAAAACAATAAAGTCTCCTAAATAAAACACTTGGAAGAATTATGTTTTAAGTGGAATTACATATACCCATTGGGTGGCATATAATCCTATCCTACATAAATACTTTGTGTTAGGGACTGAATGCTTGCTTGTCTCCAAAATTCATATGTTGGGGCACTTGGGTGGCTTAGTTGGTTAAGCGTCCGACTCTTGATTTCAGCTCAGGTCATGATCTCAGGGTCATGAGATCAAGCCCTGCTTCAGGTTCCCTCAGTGAGGAGTCTGCTTGAGATTCTCTCTCTTTCTTCCTCTGCCCCTCTGCCTGCTCACAAGTGCACATGCACAGTCTCTCTCTAACAAATAAGTAAATCTTAAAAAAAAATTCATATGTTGAAGACCCAACTCCCAATGTGACTATATTTAGAGACAGGGGCCTTTATGGAGGTTAATTAAAGTTACATGCAGTCATAAGGGCGGGGTCCTGACCCAATGGAATTACTGTCCTTATAAAAAGAAACAGCAGAGAGCTTGCTCACTCATGCTCTCTCTCCAAGCACACTCACTGAGGAAAGGCCATGTGAGGAAACAGAGAGCAGGTGGCTGTTTACAACCCAAGGGGAAAATCCTCACCAGATATTAACACTGTTGGCATCTTGGTATTGGACTTTCCAGCCTCTAGTCTGTGAGAAAATAAGTTTCTGTTGTTTAAGCCACCTAATCGGTGGCATTTTGTTATGGCACGACCAAGCTAAGACACTGGGTAAGCTCTATTTTAATTAAAGTCCTGTATGTTTCTGACAGGGACTGCATATCTACGAGGCAGACTGGGTTGTAGAAAAGCCATATGAGACTACATGATGCAACTTCCTGGGTTATTTGTTTTACTCAACGGGGGTAATGTTAATTATTTTCATATTATAAGATTTTATTTATTTGAGAGAGAGAGAATGAGAGAGAGAGAGAGAGAGAGAGAGAGCACATGAGAGGGGGAAGGGTCAGAGGGAGAAGCAGACTCCACGCTGAGCAGGGAGCCCGATGCGGGACTCGATCCTGGGACTCCAGGATCATGACCTGAGCCGAAAGCAGTTGCTCAACCAACTGAGCGACCCAGGCACCCCTTATTTTCATATAATAGCCACATTCATGTTTATTAGATACAACACACAAAAGCTCATTGATTTCCATTTCTTTTTTTTTTTTTAAGATTTTGTTTTTAAGTAATCTCTACACCCAATGTGGGGCTCAAACTCACAACCCTGAGATCAAGAGTTGCATGCTCCACCAACTCAGCCAGCCAGGGGTCCCAAAAGGCCATAGATTTCTAAGGCAAATCAGAGACTCCAAATAAACTTTGTGCTTGCTATGGAATAACTGAGGCTTTGTATCTAGATCTTCTGGAGGTATGCATTCATTCATGTGGAAAAGTTTGCAAAGCACTCTGGTTTTTTTGTGACCGTTTAATGCATGTGCTAACTTTGTTCTTCGTCTGTATTTCACTGTGTATCTCTAAAAGGCAAAGATTTTTTTAAAAACCACAACCACAACACCATGATCACACCTAAAAGAAATCAGCAGTAATTCCTTTATATCATTCAGTATCCAATCAATATTCAGATTTTTGCAACTGTGTCACATACATTGTATATATCTATTATAATTACATCTGTATGACTTAGAGTTTGAATTTAATAAATAGAATTGAAATTAGAATTTGCTTGAATGAGAATTCAATTAAGTGTAAATATTGTTTCAGAAGCATCTTTTAGTTTATAGGTTCTCGGGCTATCTTTTTTGTCACAGGAAAAACGGGGTTATTTCTCCTGTGGAACTTCCCACAGTCTGGACATTGTGGTTGCACTTCTGTGCTATCACTTAAGCTGTTCTCTGTCCCCTGCTTGTCTTAACAACTTGACAAGTAGCTCAAGAGAGAAGCGTGGCTTCCATATCCACGCCGTTACACAAAGTTATTTCCACAGATACGGCATTCGGAAGCTTGAAAATACCTGTCCGCGTGTCTAAGACTGTCTTTTAAAACCTTAAAGAGGGTGATGATTATAACTGACCTACATTTAAAGTAAAGGCTCTTTTACAAGGGGTAATTTTATATTACTACTAAAATTGGAAAGCTCCTTTTGATTTAGACTAATTTTTTAGGAGAATGCTAATGAAAATGTGATAGGTTTAAGTCCTTAACACGAAACTCTCTCAAATCTATAGAAGTTAGTTGTTTATTTTTATTTAAAAGATCTTATTCATAAATATTTAATTTTAGTTTGAAAATTATAAATGATGACTTAAAATTGCTGAAATGAAAACCATACAAAACTTAAAAATAAAAGAAGAACCATCCTGCAGAGACAACTGGCTAGCCACTGGGAGAAAACAAGCTGACACCAAAATAAATCCCAGATGGAGTGCAGATTTAAGTATAAAAATAAAATATAATTCTGGAGGAAAATTTGGGAGAATGTTTTTATCATCTTGGGTTGGGGTAGGGGTGGAGGGATAATCTGACATCAAAGCCACATATCATAAAGGAAAGACTGACATCTTACTACATAGAAATAAAAAAATTCTCCATTAAACCGCCCTAAAACCCAAAAGAAAGTCCCATATTACTATGAACAAAGTTTTCAAATAACCAAATCAGAAAAAAATATCTGATTTTTTGTCAATGGCAGAGGATTAAAATTCTTCACAGAGCTTTAAAATAAGAAAAATTTCCCCACAGGAAAATGGGCAAAGCTCATAAACAGCAATTCATAAAAAAGAAAATACAAATGTCCAAATACATGAAAAGATGCTCAAAACTGAATATCCATCAAAGAAATGTATGCAAATTATAACAACAGTAGGAAATAATTTAAGATTGAAATTGATAGTATCTGATGTATTCACATACAGCTGATGAGAACATGATCTGTTAAACCTCTAGAAGGAAATCCAGGCATGTATGTCAAAATAAAGATGTGCAAGCCCTTCTCGTAGGAGTCTACTCCAAGGAAATAATGAGACAAATGCAGCCATATATGTAAAAAAAAAAAAATTTCATTTGCGTAGTTTGTAATTAGTGAAACACTAGAAAACACTAACTGCTCATTAGTAAAGAAATGGTTAAATGAACTCTGGAGGCCCAAACCACATGTGTGATATGATCTCATTTGTTAAAAAACCCACGTAGCTGACAGAAAACACACATAACATGGTGGTGGAAGGCGGGGCGAGGATTTGGGAGCAGGGAAGCTCGAGCACATCATCTCCACACAATGAGATTATGAGTGATTTCACTTGTTCCTTAAATCTTTCTGTATTTGTCTGAAATTTTCTCTCAAAGATTATGCATTACAAATTACATGCAGAAAAAGTCAAGCTATTTTGAGAAGAAACATGCCAAGATTTTTCTAACTTAATGTTCTGTTTCTGATCACTACAGCCAAGGACATTTTGTGAAAAGCATGCTTACCATGATTACTATAAGTTACTATAAATATTTCTCTCTTTATCTATTAATTTGTTAATTTATCCTAAATTCTCTTCTTTAATTACATTTTCATCTGAAAATCTAACAATGTATTTTTTAATGTTTTCCTATTAATAAGTCACTTTGCTATTTTCACATTATATCCAATATGCTTATCTTTTGAAAATTGCTTCTTTTAAAAAAAAACTATGAACTCCCATGCACATAAAATGCAGTGCCTTCAATATTTCAAAGTAAACCAAAATAAAAACATATCTTTTGAAAATATACTATTGCTTCTTTAAAAAAAAAGCTATATAAACTCTTATGCACATAAAACACAGTGCCTTCAATATTTCAAAATAAACCAAAAGAAAAGCTCCTACATTGTCTCCAACGTAAATTTTAAAAAAGGGAAATAATTATTCTGACTGGTGTGAGGTGGTATCTCATTGAGGTTTTGATTTGGATTTCCCCGATGCCGAGCACTCTTTCATGTGTCTGTTGGCCATATGGATGTCAAAAAAAAAAAAAAAAAGGGAAATAGTCTTGGGTCAGAGCTTTCATTGGTTGTACAGAAAAGAAACCAATCTGCCAATTTTCCCCACAACTTGAAGAAAAACAGCAGAGAGAGACACGTAAGAGGCCGTCCAGAAACTGCCTAGGTTTAATGGCCCTAAGGAAATGAACTCACCAAAATGACGCCCAGGCTCCAGAGGTCACAGGACTCATCGTAGCCGTTATGATTCAAGAGCTCGGGGGCCGCATAGTGCAGGGTGAAGCAGGGCGTCTTGAGAGGCTGGTTATCAGGCGGCTTTAAGCGTGCAAACCCAAAATCGATTACTTTAATTTCCAAATTGTCATTTTCATCAGTGAACAATAAATTCTGCAAGATACAAACACTTCAATTAGTCTCTCGTGATAATGTCCTGGGACTTGGGGATGCCATTTATGTATCTAGCTATACGATGATACTGGATTCAAATGCAGAGAGAGATCTGATGGGGAGGATCTGGGAGCTGGATGTCAGCATACTGTTGTTCTCTGCCTTACACTTTTTTGTATTATTTCAATTGTATAATGTCTTGTGAAACACTTTCGACTGTACCACGCCTCTTCCCACGTCAGAGTCTTTGTCTACATTTTTCTCTCTCATGGTATTTGCCCTCTACCTCCTCCATCAACCTCCTTTCTGACATGGCTCACGTGCACCTACTCCTCGTTTGGAGATACCACCCTCATGTGCCACCAAACTGAAGTCAGGACTTTTTCTATTTTCTGCTAGTATATTTTCTTTTTCTTTCTGGTACTTAGCATCTTGGTATTAGAAATTCAAAGTCTTCTTCCTCCATTAGGCCGTAATTCCCTAATGGCAGGGACTATGTGTCCCCCTTATTTATGACTCTATTCCTAAAACCTGGTGCACTCATATAGTAGGTGCTTTGGTAAATATCTGTCCATTGAATAGTCATAAATAAAATAGCTGTCTCTAGTATATCCTATTAAAAAGACATGGTGGGGGGGCGCCTGGGTGGCTCAGTCGTTAAGCGTCTGCCTTCGGCTCAGGTCATGATCCCAGGGTCCTGGGATCGAGCCCTGCATCGGGCTCCCTGCTCGGCGGGAGGCCTGCTTCTCTCTCTCCCTCTCCCCCTACTTGTGTTGCCTCTCTCGCTCTCTCCCTGTCAAATAAATAAATAAAATCTTAAAAAAAAAAAGACATGGTGGGGCGACTGGCTGGCTCGGTTGGAAGAGCATGTGACTCTTAATCTTGGGATTGTGAGTTTAAGCCCCACGTTGGGTGTAGAGATTACTTGAATAAATAGAAAAAAACCTCAAAAAATACAAAAAAGAAAGAAAGAAAGAAGACATGGTAAAGACATACATTTCAGAAATATTTTCTCCAAAACAATTAATACTTAAACATTTTTTGATGCTTAATGGATAATATCCCTCAGTTATTCAGAAAACACTGTTCTCTTGAATCCCTCGTCTGCCAAGCCTTCTCAGTCACTGAGGCTTTACTGTATTGTTTTTGTGTTTATCACACATTTAATAAATGCTAACTGTGTGATGCACAGTCATCACTTTTATTAGTCTATCAAGCTAGTACCCACAATAAGTGACTCCGATTATATTGTCTTCAGATATCCTGACAAAACCTGTTATGTGTCTTTATGTTTATTAAATTATTCCTCAGATCTGGAACGTCATTTGCTTTGTTACTATTATTCCAGCTAAAATAAAAGACATCACAGAAGGCTTCATTCATACCAAGAAGAAAAATCTTCTACACCTTCCATTCAAAAGTTAAAAAATGAATAAAGTGGGAGGAAAGAAAAGCAAAAATATTAAAAAGTTTTCTTAAATGCTCTATCATACAATGCTTGATCCTGAATTTGTGATGGAATTAAAATGTGGATGTGATTGAATGTAGGGTTCACCACTACTAAATCAGAGCTGGGGTTCACGCGCTTGCACTTGGGAGAAGTCTCTCAGCAAATGACTGCCGAGCCCCTCTGTGGTGCAAGCACTGGGCTATGTGCAGAGGCGTGAAAGCACCCCTGGCCCCCGGCTTCACTGAGCCTGCTGAGCCTTTGGAAATGACTTCAGTTTATTCTATATTAAGGCTGGCAGAGGACTCCCTTAGCCACCGTTCTTGAAATGAAGGAGACTCCACTCTCCGAGTAGAGTTGGGTGTGCATGGGGAGGAGTGGCAGGAAGCAAGCGTCTTTCAGCTTCATCTCAAGTCCCACCTGAAACTAATTTGATGTAGTTTTTCTTAATCTTTCAAGATTAGGGGGTCCGGTTTGAAAAGTACAAAGCAGCCCACCAGGAATGTTAGCGAGCTTCTAAATTTGTCTGCTGCTGACCTAGAATTTAGGATTTTGCTCAAGCAGAAAGCCAGGGCCACGTAAATACCAACCAAAAGATATATAATCAGATCTTAAAATATGACATCAATGGGAAAGGAATTAAACTTTTAGTCTGGAAATAATATACTCTGCCATTTAAAAGTCCAAGTGAAAGTTATTTTATTATGAAGATGTTAGTACAAAGGCACATTTTCCTCTCTCCAAAGTTTATTTTGATTTAGGGCTATAACTGTAGTAGAATGTCCTAAATAATCTGACAATTCTTCATTTCAAATGATTATTTGAAAGAAAACGTTTGTAACAAATAAGAAGAATTAAGCAACATAAGTATCTTTTTTATCAGTAAAATAGGAAGGCAAATTTAAATTCTGTTGGAGAGGACAGTTGCCTCATTTGAGACTCATGGGATGACAGATGGCCAGTTATCAAAGAATAAAACATGTGAAAATGAATTCTATACAGTCATGGAACAGATCTTTTCAATTAAAAAAATCACATGCTTGTTCCTTGTCTATCAAGAAAACATTTAAGTGGTGTGCTTTCACACTTAAAAACAGACCGCTAATCTCCGATGTACAGAGCACCATATTTTCAGTGGGGGTTCTGTAGGAGAAGTGAGAACGCAGATGAAGGAAGCAGAGGGGGAGCGACCATAGCGGCAAGTTCATAAAACACAACTCACTTTTGACTAATTACTAGTAACATGAATAACAGTAACAGGAAGTCCAAAGACAGAAGTTTATATGCTTTAGAATCAATTATATTTGGATGCACAGAATTCCATTTTTAGGGGCACCTGGGTGGCTCAGTCAGTTAAGCGTCTGCCTTCGGCTCAGGTCATGATCTCAGGGTCCTGGGATCGAGCCCCGCATCGGGCTCCCTGCTCAGCGGGGAGTCTGCTTCTCCCTCTCCCTCTGCCCCTCTGCCTTCTTGGGCTCTCTCTCTCTCTCAAATAAATAAAATCTTAAAAAAAAAAAAAAAAGAATTCCATTTTTAAAACATCCTCTTCCTACCAATGATTCAAGATATTTAAACAGGCAAAAAATGGTGCTGTTAGAGACATATTCTTTTGTGGTTTAACACAAAAAATAAACTCCAAGTAAATTATTATTTAAAAAAATTTTGACAATGCATTATAATCACATGGTAATTAAAAATGAAGTTCTATTTTAAAGAGGAAATATGTGTAATTTTGCATATGATAAAGGATAAGTCATTATTATGCTTTTATAAATTATTGGGTTTTGTTTTTTAATTTTCATTAATATTTTGGTGATTTCCTGAAGAGGGAATTTTCATATTTTTGATACTAAAAAGGGATATTCTGGAGCTAGAATCTTTTCTATAATCCTTTTGAAAGAAGAAATATATAAAAAGGGGCTGCTTCTGCATTGCTACACAATTCTATAAATATAATACATGAGCAAAGAGAAGCACATATAGGGATGGTACAACTAATTAAACCAAGACAATTCTTTATGTTTAAATATTTAGAACAGAATTATATACATTCCTATTCATGAGCTAATCAATTTGATAACAAAAATGGAAAATAAGCTTTCACAATACATCATTAAAATAAAACCCCTCTAAATGACACACATATAGAAAGGATATTATTTTCTGCTACAAAAATTTCCATTGCTATTTTTAGCCCACAACTGTTGCATAAAGTATTTCTTCCATAAAAGGCTCTCACATTTACAAATATAACCTCAAGATGATCTGCTGGCAAAAAAAAAAAAGACAAAAAAAGACAAATTTATTTTAGACTAAAATAGAAGAGAAAGAGAATCCAAGAAACGGGATCTCTGCAAGTATCTATTTAGCAGAAAGCCCTAAACAACGAAACAAGAAGAGCCCACCCGGCCGTGGGGGGTGTTTGGTACTAAGGAGGCTAGACTGAGTGACGGGAGGGAGCGCGTCACGTGATACCTCGGGCTTCAGATCCCTGTGCACCACGCCCACATCATGCATGTGGCTCACGGCCGAAACGAGCTTCCGCATGATGTAGCTGGCTTCAGTCTCACTGAAGTGTTTCTTTTTCTTAATGCGTTCAAACAGCTCTCCCCCGTTCAGAAGTTCCATCACCAGAAACGTGTGAAGCTAGAAAGGAAGAGAAAGAAGAACGCGGAGGGCTTTCATGAAGAGAAGTGTATTTACAGATGAAACATTCCTGGACTATTAACTATCGCCAATAAATTTAGATAATCCCTTGTTAAAATAATCAACAGCAAGCCTTAATGGTGGAGAGGAAAGAATTGAAGGATAATGTGGCTTTTTTAGAATTCTATTTTGGTCATGGAAAATTTCAAGTGCTGCAGTGAAATCTTTATATATCCCTTCCTTGACTAATTCTTTCATTTGAATTCCATTCCAACCCTCTCTTATCAAGTTTACAGATCTTTCTTTTTAAAGTGTGACCTAGTGCTGATAATAATGTGAAATCATCTGCTTTAAATACTAGAGAAGATTAACGACAGAGTATGGGCAACTGCCCACAGGAGGCCTGACCCACCCACCGAATGGCAAATATATCTTTTAAAAAAGGCACTCTGAACCTCCTGTGAGAGCTCAACGGATTAGTTTCAGGGTTCCTTATTAATATCTGTGGCAAATACCCATAGCTCAGCGTGGTGTTTTACTGTTTTTGTGTGTGTGTGTGTGTGTGTGTGTGTGTGTGTTTTAAATAATTGCTTTGGATACCAATGGCATTATCTTAATTGAATAGTTTAAAAATTATCTATTTACTATGCCTTGCATACATGTCCATAAAGAAAGTAACATAGGAGCAATCAAAAAGCAAAGGAATTGTATCAGCTCTCACAAACGTGTAGTTTAAAAAGATAGCCAATCAAGAGATTCAGGTGCTATGTATTACAGAACCAGCATCACTGAACAAATAAGCTTCCTTCTGAATTAGCAAAATCCAGAAAAAAAAAAGCTTCATAAAAAAGGTAATTATCCTGTACATATTGGGCAAATTTTAAAAGGTGAACCTTTTTAATAAGAGAATTGCTTCCAGGCTACCAGAGATCAAGCTAATTTGAGTTTCTACATACAACAGATACTGTCAAAGTTGAAGGTCGGCTACAAGCATATGCCAGTGAGCTTTTAAAAAAAATGGAGGGCAATACCTGTAAGTGGTTTAAAAGATAGGTTTTAGAGTCAAACCTGGATCGGGATGGCACTTCTGCTACTTACTTATGACCCTGGGGATGCTAGTTAACATCTATGAGCTTTAGGACCCTCACCGATAAAACAGATAACGGTGAGAAAATGTATATGAGACCATTGGATAATGGCCCTCCGAAGACCTCCGTATCCAAATCCTCAGAACGTGTGGACATTACCTGATATGGTAAAGGGACTTTGCAGATGTAATTAAGGATCTTGAGATGGGAAGAGTGTCTAAATCATCCACCAGAGCCAACAGTATGGGATGGGACTATGGAAACAAGAGACTGGAGTGATATAAAGAAGGTTCACGAGCCAAGGAACGTGAGCAGTCTCCAGAAGCTAAAAAAAGGCAAGCAAATGGACTGTCCCTTAGAGTCTCCAGAAGGAACCAGCCCTGCTGACACCCGGACTTTATACCAGGGAGACTGATTTTGAACTTCTCATCTCCAGACTGTACGATTATAAATTGGTACTGCTTAGGTTTGTGGTAATTTGTTACAGCAGCAAGAGGAAATGAATACAGATCCCGGTACACTGAGTCGGAGGCTGAAGAGCCACCCTCATCGATTTCACCCATTAGTTGAAGAGAAGATTATGTGCACCTAGGGATGATCAGGGCAACTGTGTCATCTATACAGAAAAAATCACCCAAGATATCAATAGCAGAATGATAATATATCTTTATATATTTGTACTAGTATATATAGGATTATATCATGACACAACTTATAGTATTTTTTTTTTTTTTTGAGAGAGAGCTCGGGGAGAGGGGCAGAGGGAGAAGAGAGAGAATCTTAAGCACACTCCATGCCCAGCGTGGAGCCTGATGCAGGGCTTGATCTCACAACCCTGAGATCATGACCTGAGCTAAAGCCGAGAGTCGGACGCTTAACTGACTGAGCCATTCAGGCGCCCTTCAGTAACTCTTTAATATAAAAATAACAAATAATAAATTGATCCTGTGGCATAAGTACAAAATTAGGGATGCAGTTCCTGAGATCTGACATCGCCTGAACGTAAGAGACTGAATGTCTCTGCGGGGACGCAGCTGGGCACAAGCCCAAAACCAGAGGGCGGTGTCAAAGGTCATCCTCCAATCCCTTGACGACCATGTGAATCATCTTCAACAGGAGAATGTCCAGGCTCTTTTTAAGCACCTCCAGTGGATGGGGGACTCATTACTTCTAGTGGAGTTGGGTAGCCCGACGATGTGGCGACAAGTAGAGGAGCACGGAGAGTAGCTCCCCAAAGCCCTCACTTCAAAGATATTCCTTTTCTGACTATGAGAACCACAGAGCAAGTAGATGACAATGTCATTTTTGGGTGTTCACTCCATGTTTCTGCCTCCCCTAAGGCAGCAGAGTTCTGAGGTTGGACTGCTTGGGTCTAGAGCCCAGCATTACCACTTACGAACTGTGAGACCCTGTTATTTAACTTCTGTGAGTTTCCATTTTCTCACCCCAAGGTGTTACTATAAGGACTGAATAACACATGTGGAATCTGGGACGATACCTGGCCCATGTGAGGTATGCAATAATAAAGGGCAAGGTTATTGTGGTTAAGACATAGTATCACTGCCATGGTACCCTGGGAACTTTCAGTATGGTAGAGAACTGGGCCATGGCCTACCCAGGACATGGTGTTACAGCAGCACCATGGAGACAGCCCAGGACGGGAGCCCAGGTTTTCCCGACGAGACACTCACGGCCTTGCGGTGTGACCACAGACAAGTCTCATGACCCTTCTCAGTCTGTTTCTTCTTTGTTAAACTTAGGGTAAGCCGCATCCAGGACTGGGTTTGGCTCTTGTGCTTAGCATGTTGTCTTAAGTAGGAGCGTGTCATCTCACCCAGTCCCAGGGGGAACAGTAACTGTACCGGAGCAGTTTTTGTCATGGAAGGTGGCAGTGGAGGGGAGAGGAAGAGGCATGGACCTGACACAGTGGCAATCCTCCCACGTGCAGAGGTACACACTTCTGCACTCGGTTCCTGTTGGAAAGCAGGACCAGGAGAGGAGGGGACAGCATGACCTGGGCCCCTGGAGTAAGATGAGATGAGCAGCTTTGCCCTTCTGCGTCGCCTCTCTTCTTTAGCTTGCACTAATTAGGCTTACAACTCTCTAAGTTCTATTCCGGAAGTGAAAGAAGGTTGAAGGCTGGTAACTAATGGACTACTGAGAACTATCCAGTGATTAAGCTACGGTGGGCAGCAGCTGAGTGGGTGACAAGCAGAGTGCAGCTTGTGACAGCGCCACCGGCCCCTGCCCCTCTCTCCTCCGTCCACGTCCCATGTGCCCACTGCTGAGGGAGAAGAGCGGACGTGAAAGGATGCATCGGTTTGGGGGAGGGGTAGGAAGTTTCTCTGCCTTCTCTAGGGGCTGGGTATTCTCCCACATCCCTGACTCTGACCCTGCAGCACCAACAAGACTGGTAAAAAGTAGAACCCTCTATGTGAATCAGAATGCACAGAAAAATTGTGTCAAATACCTGATCGTGAAAAACTTCATGCAGCTTCACAATATTGGGGTGTCCTTCACAGAGCTTCAGAGCCGTGATTTCTTTCTGAGTATTGGCTTCCATCCTGCAAGATGAGAGCAGTTAGACTCCACATACATACACCTCTTCACCAAGTTCTTATGTCCGGATTGTCCCAACCCGAATTTTGTGTTTATTGACAGTGCATTCGGAATGTAACTGTCCAAGTATCAAAGTGAGGTCTCTATGATAGTGGTGAGTCATCTTACCCACCAGAACAAGTAATGCGTTATTCCCAAGACAATGATTATTTCTTTTTTTTTTTAAATTTTTTTTATTGTTATGTTAATCACCATATATTACATCATTAGTTTTTGATGCAGTGTTCCATGATTCATTGTTTGTTCATAACACCCAGTGCTCCATGCAGAACGTGCCCTCCTCAATACCCATCACCAGGCTAACCCATCCCCCCACCCCCCTACCCTCTAGAACCCTCAGTTTGTTTTTCAGAGTCCATCATCTCTCATGGTTCGTCTCCCCCTCTGACATACTCCCCTTTTCTTCCTCTCCTGTTATCTTCTTCTTTTCCTTTTTTCTTATAATATGTTGAGTTATTTGTTTCAGAAGTACAGATCTGTGATTCAACAGTCTTGCACAATTCACAGCGCTCACCGTAGCACATACCCTCCCCAATGTCTATCACCCAGCCACCCCATCCCTCCCACCCCCAACCACTCCAGTAACACTCAGTTTGTTTCCTGAGATTAAGAATTCCTCATATCAGTGAGGTCATGTGATACATGTGACAATGATTATTTCTGAATCAGAAGAGAGCCAGTCCTATGAAGAAACAGATGCCTGACTTGCCTGACATTTTGGTAACAGGAATACATAATCAAGGAGGTAATAATGAGTTACCGAAATGACGAGCTGGCTCGCAAAGCTACCAGCAAATTGCTAAGTCATTTCAGAAAAAAAAAGAAAAAAAAGTATTTCAGATCTGTAACTATTAGGAACAGCAACAGCTGCTAAGCACATCTGATTGCCGCTGCAACAGAAAATGTTCTCGCAGGAACCTCGAAAGCCTGTCACCCTATGATTTATGTCTCAGATGGATTACGTTTAACAGCAAACATCTAGTAGAGTCAGAAGGATAATGGATCAGGCTAATGAGCTGAATGGCTAAACCCATGGGTGAAAAAGCCTTACAAGAAACCATTGATTTTAAAATAAAAATCCTAATTTACAGAATTCATTGACCGGATGAATCCACACAAAACAATGCCAGACACGGTCCTACCTTTTGCTGATTATTTTGACTGCAAAGGCTTGGCTACTTTTTTTGTGTATGCACTTTCGACAAATTGAAAAACTTCCCTCTCCCAGCGGCTTGTCCTTCAGATCCAGGTCATAGTGCTGATAGAATGGGGAGTCCTGGTAAGAAACCAACATCATTTAAGTTAAGAAAATACTAGGAATGCAGAGGGATAAATAACATTATAGAGTAAAAAAACATTATTTATGTTAATAAATATGCATGGGATACATTTAGAATCTTCTAAGATTCATCTTACTTTTAGCTCATTTCTACTTTCATCTATATAACTTTTTAAGACATATTAATTGGCTATCGTTGTAAAAAGGAGTTCATTGAAATTGATGTGACTAATTCTCTAGGGCAAATATTGCTATTTCCACTTATTCATTTCCTAAAACTGCATCTTAGTCAAATGGTAAGTCTCTTATGTTCACCGGCCCTGACAATGTTAATTAGTGTTGGTATTTAAATGATAACTATGTCATTTAATTAACCACGTCTATACCTTCATCATTGCGCTCCTGGCAACATTTGTCACTCCAGGACGTTCAACTCCCATGTGAAATTGAAGAGGATCTATTACAGCTGCATTACGTTTGAACAGAATAGAAGGAGCAACAAAGGAATAGCCCTAAAAAAAGAAAAGAGTAAAGAATGAGGATTTGCAATTTCCCACGTTAGCACAGACCAGACTGTAATAATTTTTTTTCTAAAATCAAGAAAAAAGACTGAAAAACATTCAAATATGTGTTAAGGTGAATCTCATTTTATTTGTAATCTAAAATGCAAGGTTATTTCAAATCAATAGAAAGATGATTTTCAGAAGGAGAGAATGCCATCTTCTGGTAGAATTAAACCAATTCAAAAGTAAAGACAGAAAAACCTTCTTTCCTATTCCACCCCCAATATCTGACTCACAGCTGTAATTCTTTTATTTATTTACTTTTTAAATTTAATTTAATTTTATTATGTTATGTTAGTCACCATATAATACATCATTAGTTTTTTGATGTAGTGATCCATGACTCAATGTTTGCATATAACGCCCAGTGCTCCGTGCAGTACGTGCCCTCCTTAATCCCCATCACCGGGCTACCCCATCCCCCCCCCCCCCCCCCCTCCAGGACCCTCCGTTTTTTTCCCGGTTGCCCCCATCCTCCCTTGTTTCGTCCCCCCCTCCGCCTCCCCCCCCCTTCATTTTTCCCCTCCTTCTCCTAATGTCCTCCACGCTATCCCTTATGTTTCACAAATAAGTGAAACCATATGATAATTATCTGTCTCTGCTTGACTTATTTCACTGAGCATAATCCCCTCCAGTCCCATCAGAAAGGATGAATACCCAACTTTTACATCAACATGGATGGGACTGGAGGAGATCACAGCTGTAATTCTTCTGCATTGCTGATAAAAGTTCGCTTACAAACACAACTAACTTCTCAAAAGGGTAGAGTTTAAGGTATTAAACAAAGTGGTCCAAGGGCTCTTGTTTATTTTTATTCCAAAGGCTATAGTTTGTTTCTAATTTAGCAATTATTTGGCTCATTATCCTTCCTCAGACTAAAAATTTTAAATTGAGTTTTGGGAAAGAAATAAAATCAAATGTCAGAACGATGTGCTGAACCAAAAGCGGTATAGTGATAGATGATTAATCTGTTCAAGCTGGAAAATTCATTAGTTTGAAGAACAGTTTTTAGATATCTACTCTGTGCTCAGTCATGTGCTAGATGTTAGTGTCATTAAGGTCCAGAAACACAGCCCAGGTGACCAGATTAAGCCATACTAATGGGATACTTAATGAGGGTCAAGAAGGGAAGCTCTGACGCCATTTAAAAGTTAGAGTATTGCAAGTCTGAGGAAGATCTTTTTCTAAGTATAAAATCTTTTCTAAATCTTCAGGAGTTAGAAAGCAGTTTAGGTTACTCACTGAAGATAAAGAATCAGATAACAGTTTTTATGAACTGAAGAAAATTTTATATGGATAGAGGTAAAATAAAGTAGTATTGTATTTTTCTATAAGAGAGCCTGAACAGAAATAAAATTTCAAGTAAGAAATCAGCACCGCTTTATATAAAAAAAAAACCACAGAAGTAATATCTACTATTTAACAGACCATAAGCTTCAGTTACTAATGTGCAGTATCTCTATATTTGATAATTTTGAAGAGATTAGAGAATCTTATTTTTAAGATGCCAAAAGCACTTTTCATATGGGAAAATTGATCTTTTTTTCCAGGGCACAGGTGGCCTCTGTACATGAACACGCTCCTGGAGATTACCTGAAACAGCCTCTCGGAGCTCTGGGGCAGTGCTGCGGGGGAGTAGGTGGGGTCCATCTCCGTGAACTCTTCTGCAAAGTTACTCACATCTAATTCGTCTCGGATGACTGGCTTAAATGGCGCGGGCACTTTTTTGGCAGCTAAATCATCCCAATTTATTTTCTAAAACAGAGAAAGAAAATTGGTACAAAGTAGAAACCAACAAAGTTGAAGTATTTTCTGAGAATTGTCTAAGAATAACAAAGACAGACTGGGGTTTTAATTGGTTGATAGGGAAAGAGCACATATCTCAAACCAATAATTAAAAAAATTTTTTTTTCTTTTCCCCCCAAGCACGAGCACATTTTCTGACTGCAGTTGATGGCTCCAGCCAACGCTATGTCCTAAAGATGAGATGGCCTTCTGTCACTGTGGGGTCTTGTGGTGTCCTCTGGGGGGCACCAGGTTATCCCTAGTCCACCGTTAGGCATAACAGAAAAATTACTTTTGTCCTGACCCTCTTGAGAAAGGTGTGAGGCCAGAACAAAACAAACTGAACTGTCATAAAGGGCCTTTCAATGCTCTATGGATATGAATATTAACTCTAAAGGAATATCCCTATTTTCTAGAGGCAGTGTTAAAGCGGCTCTCGGCCTATACTTGGTTTCCCTCCTGGTCATCTGGACAGATTAGACAATAAACACACTATAAATCATGTACTTGGTTATGTCTCTAAGTATAAATGATACTATCATACTGATGTGATCATCTTTTTTGCATTTACCTGTATTCTAGCTTTTTAAATACTGCTTCTTTCCCCCCATGCCAGTCGCTTACTGCTGATAAAGTGCTGTTTTATCTTACTCAAATTCAACTCTGTGCTCTATTTTCTTTGTGCTCCTTCTGTCACTTAAAACAACCTCAGATACTACTTACTGAATTGAATCCTACAGCTACCCTATTAACATATTTCCTCAAATCTAAGATGTCATCACTTATAGTGAGATAAACCATTATTTTATGTACCATTAAGAAAGAAAAGGCATCATCAACTAGAATGGTTACAATGTCCGTTGTAAGATGCATTCTGATTTCAGAGATGGTTGATGACACTGGCTAAGTTTAATCAACTAACATAAATGTTTTTATTATGCCCTCTTGTGGAGGGAATGTAGAAAAAAATCATTAGATTACAGATCATCACATTTTTCAGTTAGAGTGGGCTTTAGAGATCATTTAGCTCATCTCCTTTACTTGATCCAGATGGAAATTGAAGGCTGGAAGTAAGAACGAACCTTTTTCACTTAAACATTAGCTAGTGGAAAGGTCAGTCTCTTGATTTTCTAGTTAGTAGTGTTCTGTCCTCTGTGTGGCTCTAATGTTTTCCATTACAAGCATATGATTTGTGCTTGGCTATTTATACACACATTAAAAGAAACTTCTAGAGTAAAGGGGTAATTTAAAGGAATATGTTGTTATCAGGAGAACGTTTGGTATGTAGAAAACTGAATGCTATTATGCTCCTCTCCACCTTCTCTCCATTTAGGTCTTTACCAGTTGGAGTCTGGTCTTTCCTAAAGTGTCCTTGTTATTTAAAAAGCAAGGCAATTAAATAACCTAAAATTACTATTCCAAACTATAGAAAAGAAAAATTTCTCTAATATGAAAGACATACTGTAATATTCACAAATATAGGGAACCACACAGAAAAAGATCCTAGGGAAACAGGACTGAGGCATTTTGCTTGAGTACTTTCTTAAATCTTACCTTATTGCTAAATTTTGAGCCAGATTTCTCAAAAACATATTTGAAATAGTTTGTTCAAATATTAATCTTTGTAAGCCATGCTAATTTATGAAATGCACACACTGAGAAGTTAATTTTATTCCAAATGTATTTCTGTTATTGAACTTCCAAAAGAACATAGTAATAGATTTTTAAATGGGTTACAACTGAGAGACTGATGTTATTTTTTTGAGTATAGAAATAGAGAGGTAATTCTTATTCTCAGCCATTATTTGTTTCTCTATTTTTAAAAAACAATAGATGACATAAAGTTTACTCTACAGCAGAGCTTTTTCTTTGTTTTGTTATGCTATTTTCATTTGTTTTGGTGATAATACTGTAAAAACTCAGTTTGCAGAATAAAAATAAAACTTGGATGGTCCCTTTAGACCATGAATACTTAGAGGTCATGTTTGTTGAGGCGATGAAATTATTTAAAAGTCCTAAGTTCATAGGGTAGGTACCTGGGTGGCTCAGTCGGTTAAGCATCCGACTCTTTTCTTTTTCTTTTTTTTTTTTTAAAGATTTTATTTATTTATTTGAGAGACAGTGAGAGAGAAAGAGCACATGAGAGGGGGGAGGGTCAGAGGGAGAAGCAGACTCCCCGCCGAGCAGGGAGCCCGAAGGCATCCGACTCTTGATTTAACTCGGGTCATGATCTCAGGGTCCTGAGATGGAGCCCCTAGCTGGGTTCTGCGCTGAGCACTGAGCTTGGAGCCTGCTTGGGATTCTCTCTCCCTCTCCCTCTGCCCCTCCTACACCCCATCCCCTGCTTGTGCATCATGTGTTCCCTCTCTCTCTCTTAAAAAAAAAAAGTCGTAAGTGCAGGGTTTTAAAAACTGAGGTTATGGTGTTCCAGGTTGACCGCTTAGATTGAAATAACTAGCCAAGTTGGCCAACTTAACTTTTTTCCCCCCAGTTATCTAAAATTTTGGAGGTTTTTCTTTTTGTTTTTGTTTTTTTGTTAATAAATTGAGCAAACTAAGTTGAGCAGATGTATTGGTGCTCTGCAGAATGGCCTCATTAGGCTTTTTCAGGATAAGCAAAAAAAAAAAAAAAGAACAATTAATTCTATGTTGCAGATACACAACTGAGAAATAGGTAGATTTTTAATTGTCTGAGATCGCTCCTGAGGAAAGAAGGAAAAAATGAAATCATTGTCTACAAGGTGGAACACACTGGCAGGAATGGCTCAGGAACTGAGAGAAAAGTAAAAAATAAAAGCCTCTTTGGTCCAGATGCCTAAATTTCAAAATCGTAAATAGAAACCAATACTCAAAACTGGAACCAATAAGCTTAAGAAAGACTGAATACCATTATGGTCCTCCCCACTCTCACTTCACTTAGGGAGAAAAAGACCATTTAGGTGTCTCCAAGTAGAATTCTGATCTTTGGATTTTCCCCGTCATTTAAAAAAAAAGGTGCAATGTATGTGAAAATAGGGAGCAAAGATCCCCAAAAGGGACCCCCGTTCACTCACTTCACCAAGAATGCCAAGCACCCTGCAAATAGTAGGGCATATGAAACCATCTGTTCAATATATTTCACCTGAAAAAAGAGATGTTCTTTGATTTCATCCGCATCACGTGGACCACATCCCAATCTTTTCTTGGGATCTTTCATCAAAAGACGCTGAATTAGGTCTTTAGCTAAAGCACTCATTTCTTGAGGATATGGAGGCTCACTTTTTAATATTCTCCTGTAGGCAGATAAAACTTGCTATTAAAACAACCAGAGGATGAAGTTATAGTGACAGTATTCTTAGCAAAACAAGTATCGTGCAACACACTTTGAGCTATACGTGAAAAACGGAGCGAAAGTATTTAAAATGAGATACCATGAAATCAAATTTCTGAAACTTAAAAAAGCAGAAACAAAAAGTGTTGGATCATTTTTCAGTATAAGGCACTCCTAGTGGGAAGCCACCATCCCAAATATTTAACTGGAAAAAAACATATGAAGACTTGGGACTTCCCATCTATGGACTTGATTCTGATGAAAGATTTCCCAACGGAAACAACTCCTAATAAACTCAGGGAAGTCAATCCAGCCCTCAGATTCGAAAGGACAAAAGCAACTCCAACCATACCTGCCTCTCTTCTCCTTCCCTGTGTGCCAGTGAACAGCAGGGCCCAGCAGGAAGGGGGAGGGGAGGCAGGCCAAGCCAGAGAGTCAGAGCCACTTGGACATGGCTCCACTCCTAATATCTGAAATGAGCACCAGACCTGGGGCTTTTCATGGGATGGAAGCACCTGCTTCATTATCTGCTACTATAAAACAGGCAGGTGAGCCCTATAAGGAACTCAAAGATAACATCTACTATTTATTATGGAAGGTAAACAAGATAATCAAGGTTCTTGATGAAATATTTGAATTTATTCTAAGGTCATGGAAGAAACCAATCCAACCAAATGTACCTTTTGCCCCTGTTAAAAGGAAGATCAATAATGAGAAGGGATAATGAAGGGGACAAATTGAAATTAAGAAGCTTAACACGGTATACATGGAGATGAATAGTTATTCCTTTGTTTGGATTTGCAAAATGATTGCCTGGTGTGTATTAAAATATTAATAACCGTTATGGAACAAAATCAGATAACACGTTTGTAAAAGCACAGCCTGGTAAGAACATGGACTCTGGGGCCAGCCAGAATTCAAACTGGCTCTGTGGACTGGTGGTATGACTCTGAGATAGCTGATTAACCTCCTTAATACCACGGTTTCCTTAATCTCACGTGGGTATGGTGGCGCTTACACGGGTGAAAACATGATGAACAGGGCTTAGCACTGCCCTTGCGACGTAGCAAGTGCTTCACCTATGTGCGCTACCGTTAGACTCCCTCCTGCTGGAGCCGCCACAGAGAAAACCTTAGCCAGTCGCCACCAAGAATCAGGGAAATGATCAGTGGTTTTGGACTGAAAATTCCAGCAGTGTTGTTCATTTCAAATCTAATCCGACTTCTTGCACTCCATCCTGGGGACGCGAGGAAACGCTGGCAGAACAAGGGGAAAAAAATAAGCAGTACTCTTTCTTTTTGATTCTTTAGTACACGCCCATGGCTCACTGCTCGGCAGGGTTTTCGGCGTTAGAGACGATCCTCTCCTCAGATCAGGCACAGGCATATCCGGCAGAGACACTGGCCACCCTGTTTCTCAGGGAAGAGTAAGTACAGACTTTTCCATTTTCTCCACCCTGAATGTACTTTTTGCAGGCAGGACCTTCTTGTGTAAAAGCATCAGGCAACAGACACGCCGTTGCTGACATCCGCTTCTGCTGACTCGGGCTATGGAAATAAGCACTTCAGCCGCCACCGTCTGAGGGTACCGATCCTGCATGTCTGTTACTTCTTACACCCGAGTCGTTGGCCTTTACTGGAAGTCTACTCCGCACCAGGGAAAGCAACAGTCGGTCAGGTCAGCCGTGGCGGGTTCATCCACAAAAGGAGAGATGTAGAGAGAACAGGGTGGCCCCACCGAGATGCCAAACTGGAAAGAGGGGCAGAAAGAGACCCCGTGCACAACTTGGGGTGGCGGTCTGGGCACACAAACAGCGTCAGTGAGCTACGGAGGTGTGTGGCAGGTGCCAGGTGCCGGGCACTAGAGTTTTAGATGGGAAGACACGCAGTGGAAATGTGAAGGGATTTCTGAGAACGCGGCTGACGAGGGAACAAGAAGAATCGCCGGTGATGGCCCCGGAACTTCCCTTTGCGGGGAGAAGCTAACACGGCCAGAAGCAGTGGTGGGAGGTCCGGCAGGCAATGGCGAGCATCCACCCAGCTCGCAGGAGAGAACAGGGGCCCCGCAGAAGGAGACACCACAGCAGGAACACTTCTTAGGCTTCTTGTTGTCTTGGTACACAGAGTGGCACAGGGTTTGCTTAGTGCGTGGAGAGGTTCTGAAGCCTAATCCTGCAGAGAACTGTAGGGCCAGGAAGAGGGCCAGAAATGGAGTGGGTGGGGTGGTGAGGAGAAAGCCCCCAGCAGGCTTCAATCTTTTCTCCACCGGAAGATGATCTGGGATTTACCTTCCTCTTATGCTGTTTCCTTGAAACGTACTGCGCCAAGATAAATGTGAAATGACAGCTGTGCCTGGTTATTGCGAAGTTACCCCTGAGGGGTGTGAGCAGACAGGACTATTTAAAACTCAGAGAACTCAAGTTTCTGGGTGTTATCTCTTACCCCAAGGGTGTCCCTGGGCGGGGGGTGGGGGGTGGGGCGCTTGGAAGCTGTGCACGGGGGAGTTTTAAGATACAGTTCCTGTGCGGAGCTTCCCATGCTGGTGTGGTTTACACCCACCCACTTGGTCTCACCACTAATGGCTGAGTGTGTCTTCTGTGGGCTGGGAAGCCAGGAGGAGGTGATGGGAAGGACCGCTGATGAAGAGGTGTTTGATGTTGTCGTGCTCATGCTCTGTTTCCTGACCTGTATCTTCGAAAGCTAAGTAAAACTGGCGCCAGATTCCAGCCCACTGTGACCTGTGAGCGTGAATGCCAATCCGAAGCCTAGACTAATACAGTTGCACAGAATGTGCACTGCAGAAATGGGGGATGTGGGTGAAGGATGCTGGTTCTAGCTGGTGCTAGTCGTGACCATCCCAGAACACCCTGCAAGAAGAGCAGGGAGACATAGCTCAGGTGCGCTTCCCCTTTACCTTCAAATGTGCTTGATTTCTGAACTGGTAGTAGCCCAGAGCTCTTTCTTTTTAGCTTCAAAGGGAATCTGGGAAACTCCAGAAGAACTGCCATGGAGCAGGGCCCAAATAAACCTTAGAGCTCTCTGTAAAATCACAACAGGCTCTGCGTTGATATATCATGGTAAACACTTCTTGTGTTTGTTATCATTTAATCCATACAATAATCCTACCAAGGGCAGCGAGTATTAGCCCCATTTTAAAGATGAGGCAAGATTCCTTTCAAATAAATCAAGAAATATACATACCAATTAAAATTTTAAGCAGGTGTTTTAGAACATAGATGATTTTAGTATTTTTTCCAAGAATAAGCAAATAACAGAGCTAAGAAGATTTTGAAAAATAAAATAATTGGGAAGGATTCTACATGTTAACTACACGTTATGGTATTACATACAACTACACAGATGGTATTACAAGACAAAACTGTAAAACTGAGGTGCTAGCAAAATAAATCAACAGCCAAATCAAATGAACAGAAGAGACAACTTGAAAAATATCCAGGCACATACACAAAACTTACATTGTTTTTGAAAAGGGACCAGCCAACATCGGAAATGCCACATTGTTTGACAAATGTGTTGGGGAAACCAGCTATTTGGGAAATACTGAAACAAAGCAAGACCTATGCCTTATACCACAACCCGAAATAAACTCCAAATGGATTGAGGAATTACATGAAAAAAGAAAAATTAAATAAAATTAAATCTATAATATAAAAATGAATATACAATCTCATTCTATTCATGAATGTTATGTTTCTGAAAACCCTCTGTGGTCAAAGAAATTCACAACTGATGAGCTTAAGAATATATGGATTAAAGGGTGTGAACACCAAGACTAGAATTAAAACTGACGGGGAACAAGATGGATGGATGGTAGACACAGAACAAGCAAGGATGGTCAAATAGTCACGGGAGAATCATGGCGGAAGCAGGTAGGCGCGTATCCACTCTAAGAGAAATAACATTTTCATAATAAAATGTGGAAACAGTGAGCCTATGAAACATCGCACGTGTTTCATACGTTTACTAAAACATAATAAGGAACTGTCTCAACAATGGTATCGGGGCGATGGGCAATGCTCACTTTCCCTCCACTAGGGTCTCTGCTCAACTGTCACCTTATCAGAGCATCTTTCTCTAACCATCCTGACAAAATACCCAGCCTCTTCATCCCTCTCCTTTCTTTTTGCTTCATGGAATCTAAAGACTATTATATATTTGTCAATTAATTCTCTCTCCCAACTAAAATGTAAACTCTGAGGGAATAGGGACTCCTTTTTTTTAAAAAAAGCAATTTTCAGGGCGCCTGGGTGGCTCAGTCGGTTGGGCGTCTGCCTTCGGCTCGGGTCACAATCCTGGGGCCCTGGGATCGAGTCCCGCATCGGGCTCCCTGCTCAGCGGGGAACCTGCTTCTCCCCCTGCCTGCTGCTCCCCCGCTTGTGCTCGTGTGCTCTCTCTGACAAATAAATAAAATCGTAAAAATTGAAAAAAAAGCAATTTTGTTCCTTGCTTTTCTCCTGGGGCCTAGAGAACTGCTTAGCACTCAGCAAGCCCTCAACAAATATTTCCTGAATGACTAAATGTCTAATTGTTTTCCATTCATGATACCTTGCTCACTCAGGATCTTTCTTCCTCAGTTTCAACAGAGGCCTGCAGATAACATTTTTGCATTTTCACAGATGGCATGCCTTCTCTTGGGTTGTTTATTTCTACTTGCCCTCCATTTCAAAGTTCACAATCTTCCCTATTTCATCACTTAATATTGTTGATTCTCACTTCCTGGTTCCCGTGCAGTCCCAGAATTTCAGGATTACTCATATGCCTGCCTGAGTTAGGAGGAGTTTCCAGCCAACTTCACTTTAAATAGTTAAGAATACTGTGGTATATCTATTCAATGGTTATGTTACATAGCCACTGCAAAATTATGTTTACAGAGAGCCTGTAATTGGAGAATGTGTAAAACTTTAAGCAAAAACTGGAAGATAGGAAACTGTATTTCTAGTAT